GATTTGGAAACTGATTTGCGATTCTGGGGATCGCGTTGCGATTTTTATTTCGCGTTGCGATTTTGTTGGTCATTTTGGCAAATCCAAAAAAATTGGTTAAAATCGTATATTATAAGGCATTTTGGTCACTGAGGCGATTTTCTCTAAAATAAATGGTAACAGCAGTCATCAGATGAGAAGACAACCCATGTCGCTACAAGGAAGGGAAGATTCTGGAAGTTCATCCATCTTTACTGTGACGGGTTTACTTTACCATTAATCAATCTATTGATAATTACAATTACATCTCTGACCCTCATGGTACGATTGGTTCACGAAATGTAAGATTACTAGTGGGAAGGTAAGATTACCATGGAATAGGATTACTGAAAATGTTATATTTTGTGTTTGGTTGATTTAACATGAATGCAAAATTACTGTGTTTAGTTAAAGGAATAAAAGATTATTTGAATGTATATTTAATCAGATTGTTATTATTATATATTTATTTTTTTAACAAGTTAGAAAATATTTATATATTTTCTTTAAAAAATTTAAATTATTTTTTTATATATATTTTTTTACAAAATTTAAAATATAAAAGATTTAATGAAAATGTAAAATTTTATTTTTAACATCTGAACTTCATATAAATTTTAATTATAGAATTTTTTTGTAAATCTAAAATAGTTTAAGGATAAATTAGTAATTTAACCTTCGTAGAATTTTTATTATTCAATGACAGAAGAAATATATTTTTGAAAAGAAAAAAAATTTAAGGACATTTTAGTCCAAAACACCGGTAATCCAACAATACCTAAGGAAAGGAAGATAATGACATTCTCGAAAATATATCCCAAAAAATATACTATTAGTAATAAAACATTACCAGGAATGAAATTTCCGACCAACAAAATATAGGAATGTAAATTTTATTATGAAGAATCTCATATTTCATAAACCAATTAATCCCTCAATGAAGATCTCATCATCTCACATCATGTTGACCAAATTAGTCCATTAAAACATCAATCAGAGGTTAATCCTTCCCTTTCCCATTTCAACAAACTTCATTTACATTTAGCTAAAATACATCCTTGGATGACTCAATTATACATTTAATAATAAATATTTCATATTTTTAAAAAAAATTATAAACAAAGCATTCAATTTAAACATTATTATAAACACATTGCCAATAATTAAATATAAAATAAAATAATAACATAATATGATATGATAATAATTTATTATCAAACACATAATTAAATAAGGCAGTATTTTTTTCTTACCTTACATTTACAACATAATTGAATCATTCAGCCAACCAATTGAGACCAGACATTCGATCGGAAAATCGACACAGATTTTGTTCATATGTCAACAAAAACACACAAACGTATAGAAAAACCAAGATTACATAATATCTCAGAATTCAGAATTTTGTGAAACAAATGTTCCAGGGGCAAGAATCTACAAGAATGCATAAATTCAAAAACCAAAACCAACCTTTTTTGCAAATAACCATTGTACATAGTAGACAAAGCAGAATAGAATATTGAAGCACCAATCATAGTCATATTGAACAACAAACAGGGATGCCTGATACCGTATAAACTCAGTTCTCATCTGTTTGAGAACCATTTCCGGATGTCGAGGACGACGAATTCCCTCTGCTGGACTGAGATCCTGATGCAAACAAGCCATTGAATGGCCATGGAAACGAGAACCTTCTACCGCTTCTCCCGTCCCCTTCACCTTCTTCCCCACTACCATGTCCGTGAACGTTGCTTTCATTCTCTCTCTCTCTTTCTCTCCGGTTGCTACTACTCCTTGGCCTATCGGAATCGAGCTTGGATTCATCAGCGGGAACTTGGTATCTGCAAACTGGACATGAACTATGAAGCTCCAGCCATGGCAATATACACCCACTATGGAACTTATGCTTACATGGCATTTCCTTTGCTTCACTACCAAACTCGAAATCATCTAGGCACACAGAACATTGCAAATTCTCCTTGATTTTTACGGTTGGCATGGCCTCAATCGCCTCTTTTTGTGCTGGTGGCGTCCCATATCTGTTGGGGTCATTTTCCGCCAAGTGCTGCAACAATAAATCTAAGCCAGGACCGCTGAGATAATCGCCTATAGACCCTATATGGTTGGTGTTCTGGTTTTGACCACCCTGGACAATGATAGTTTGATTGAAAGGATTGATCCAAATCAGACGCTCGTGTTCCCTATCCCGATTCCGATCACTATCCCTATCCCTATCATTTTCGGAATTCTCGGTTTCAGATGCCATTCCATCTCTAATACCTTGAAGCAACTGCAAAATCGTCGCAGAGCTTCTTCTTCTACTCCTCATGATGGATTCGAGCTCTCTGTCCAAGTCCGTATCACCTCCATTACGAGCTTCACCATCAGAATTCTCACCATCCTCTTCATCAAACTCAAAACGTCTAAGTCTTCTGCGGCGACGGGGATTACCCATCATACCCAACAAGATGGGCGCCCACAGCGAGAGTGCATGATCATATTGGAAATTGGAGTCCACATCTTGAGCACCGTCTCCCGTGCCACCATTCATTTCTTCAACAAACCCACCTTGACAAAACGGGCATTTAATTTCAACTTCCATTTCCGGAGTAATCACTTGAGAGCACCGGTGACACCAGTACCTTGCTGCCACTGCTTCCTCCATTATCTTCCACGCCTTCCCTCCGCACAAATTACTTTTCCTCTTTTACTATCTCTTTAGGGTTCTATCACAAGCAAAGAGCAAATAAACATGATTAGAACAAGTTACTGTCAACTAAAATGGAAAGCAAATCTGCCCCCAGAGATGAAACCTTTTTTTAATGATTTAGCAGATCTACATAAATAATTCCCCAAACTCAATTCCCAGCCTATGATTCCAAGAAAAACAACACAAAAATTTCCAGAATTCAAAGTCTTCACAATGAACACTAGATTCCAACAGTAAACAATTTGCTAAAGAAAAACACTTTTTTAGCAAAATCAAACAGCAGCGAAGAAGGATCTGTGATACTGAAACCAACAGACTTCAAATTCCCAAACCAAAAACATGAATTCCCCCCAATAATTTTGAAAGAAACCCAAATCTGTGCAATAATTAACATAAGAAAAGAAAAGATTTCAGACACAGAAACATACGAAGAGATGATTTTGAATTATTCTTCTTCTTACCTTGAAATACAGCAAAGAAATGAAAAGGGAAGAAGCAAGAACAAAAAAGAATGGTATATGCTGGGGGATTTTGATTATGTCCAAAGAAGAAATGAAATGGTAATAGTTGTACTTTTTCCTTATAATATATATATATATATATTATTGTAATTATTATTTTATTATTGTAATAAGATAAATCCAAACGCGTTGTTTGTCTCTCTTCGGCTTAATCAGGGGAAATGGTGAAAATAATAATAGAGAAATAGGATATTTATAAGATTAATTAGATAATAAATCTTTCTTAAAATGTCACGTCGTTAAAATAATAGTGTTGATATCTTAAAGATTAAAATATAATAAATCAGTAATATATAACTAATCAAAACTATTTTCTAAATCAATGAATAAAATTAAACAAAATCAGATTCATCTATGTTTACGTGTGACATGTTATAAGGTCTCACAATTTAAAAATTTCATGTATCAATGTCATTTAAGTCAGTCAATATATAATCTGTGTCTAACTATATAAACAAACTTCTTGTTTAATTCTTAAAAAAATGACAGAAAAAGTTGAAAATGTCATAATAAATTTTGATTAAAAAACCTCATAGGTCACTAGTAATTTTAAATTTGATAAATTAATTATTACTATAAAATATTTTAAATATCTCATTTTAAAAAGTAACAAAAGATTTATCCATCTTTTGGGACGGGCTTGAATAAAACATAAAAATAAACGACAAAACTTATAGTTTACTAAAAAATTAATGATTATAAATGGGTTATATGACCCAAATAAAATACACTTGAAGAATGAAGGGCCATGCAATAGAAACCTTAAGCTCATACAAGAGCAAAGATCAGCATTTTAATGGCAATCTTGAAGATCCAACACTACCTTGAACAGGACAAAGCAACGTGGCGGTAGCCACCAAACCTTCCAATTTGGAGCCAAGACGCAAAGATTCGTTGATGTTCATGTTTGGCCGATAAAATAGAGGGTAACATGAACCTCCAAAACAAAGGATTGTCAAATAAGCAACTATGACTTTGTAAAGATATAAAGAAAAAAAAGCACCAGTAAGATGCCCACCAGGCAGACAAACAACAAAAGGAAACCACAAGAAGTTTCAAAATGGTGGCTCAGGGTCACCACACGATATCAAGAGACCCGCGCCATCATCGGAAAGAGAGGAAACGACGATGATTTTGGTATTGAAATTCTAGATTTCTAATCACGTCACAAGTTTGTTTTTTACACCAAAGATCTTACCTCCACTTACCCTATACATATGGGAAAAAGGGACAGCCATTTTTTTTTTGGAATTCGGCTTCGGTAATCCTAATCAACTAATCATTCCATTTAATCACAAGCACGGTTTCAAAAAACGTTCCGCGGCCGCAATTTCGTCCGCGATATAGCGGTTTCGCCGCCGTCCGAGTTACCCGCTACACCCACAATAGCGCCCGCGACGATCGCAATCAAGGTAAACCCGAAATAACCGAAAACACGACCACGATTTGAAACCCTGATCACAAGTAAAAACTCCCCCACAAATCTGTCAAAATGGGGAAAACACGAACAAAAGGCGGCATATTATTTCTGTTTTCTAAAGGATTTTCACAATAGAATTTAGATACATCTCAAGGGCATCACTCATATGTAATACCAAGCATGTTCAAGAGGGAGCTGTTACCACGCGCCAATATGGTTTCTGATCTACACCTTTGAGCTAAAAGTGTAACAATGTCCAACTAACTATAAACCCTACAAATCGCGAAATCCCTATTGAGTTTACTCTATTTCTAACAAGATAAACTGAAAATCTAACTCTACTAGCTGCAGCTACATCCTGGGAAAAGAATGACAGAGCAGGAACTTCTACAAATCCCACTCCCACCAGTATCTCAGGCCGTGCCGAACAAATTTAAGAAGCTTCAAAACCAAATGTAGTGATATCAAGCTGATTTTTTTACAGCTGTGGTTGAATTCAAAGAGAGACACTTTTTTAGTATTCTCCACCTGCAATTATCAAGTATTGGTTAAAGGCGTCGAGCAAAGTGATGGACTGGCAAAAAGGAAAATATTGTAACCATTAATTAGCAGAGCAAGCCTGCATTATATACTGTTGTGCAATGTTCAACAATCTAAAATAAAAAGAACCAAACTAATGTATTATGCTTAGCCTCATTAATTGATGAACTATGCCATGAACAACCACTAAATTGAAAGCTTACAAATCCAAGTAGATGAAAAAGTAGCTTTATGGATCATCAAAGCAATAGACAACACATTTAACTAAACATGAGAGAAGATACTGCAAATTGTATTGCCGAATCCATGTAGAAAAATACAAGAAAATCAGCAAAAGCAATGAAAAACAAGTACTGCATTATGAACTGATAAGAACTAGTTTTTTAACAGTTAACTAACTTGGTTTGCTTATTTCAATATGATAGCCCCATAATGTTTAGAAAGGCAATTTCTTCAAATGAGCCGGTGCACGTTCAGAACAGAGAGAAGGTACAAGGATTAGGAACTGCATGAATAAACAATAATTGTTTAGAGGAATGGTGAAAAGCACACTCCACCACGTCACCAGAAAAACTTGATTCTTATAGAAATTGGCCAGAATCTTAAATGTTTCTTTTACATTGTTGTGGTTAACAGAATACAATTCTGTTTTCGAGCTGACAATCAAGTGGGGTAATGTCAATAACTTTCAACAATCAAACCAAATAAGCATGAAGCTTTAAACCAAAACCATGTCAATCTTCAAACTCAGAACACCTGGTCGACAAGAAAGGACGTAAAATATTCCTTGCAGAAAAAGAATGTATGACTTCAGACAATGAAATGCAACTTCCCGATAGTATTATTACCATCAAAATATAACTCTATATACAGAAATTCGAAGGGAAAATAAGATGCTTACATGATTAGCCAGAATGATACCTACCAGGCGACGGCTTTAGCTAAGAACTCTCGGTTTGTTGACGGTCTTCAAGAAGAGGAGAGTAATGAGATCCTACAGCGTCATCAGAATCACTGTTGGAGCGCTGTCTGGAATTGAGTAGGGTTGGTGGGTTCAGAAAACTATTTCTCACATCAAAATCAGGTTCTCGCAGATTAGCACAACTATCTACATACGAAACTCCCAGTCTATATATTTGAATCCATAACAGGGACGAAAAGAATCTTACGCAAGACCCCAAGATCTCCATGGCAAGCGTTAATCTGAGCGAGAAGACGAACACCATCTCATTACTTTGGTTGGACGTGCTCCAAATATCGCGGGAAAATAGGAAAAACCATGAAATGTCGAGAATAATGGCGCAGAAGAGCAAAATGGCGTAGGTTCGGCCCAAGCTCTGACTGCTGCTCGCGATGGCAACCAAAGCGAATAATGCGATCCCCAAATTCATCAGCGACGCACCGTTGTATAATGCGCCGAGGGATCCGATCAGGGAACATCCAATCTGATCAACAAAGGCAAAAGGAAACCCCAGATTTGTTGTGATTCTAATTCCCAGAAGGAAAGGGAAAAAAGAGAGAGAAAGGAAGGGGGATCACTTGGATGTAAATGAGGATGACAGCGACATTGAGGAGCCTATCGTAATCGTGAAGACAAGCTTGAATCCCATCTCTCGCATTCTGAGAGCAAAAACAAATCATCATCTGCTGTTATTCATCCAATTTTGATTGATCGCTTCTTCAGAGCAATCAAATCAAACCCGATTCTTTTTCTTTTATCTTTGTTTCTAACTGACACACCTTTTCCTTAGGTGAAAAAAAAGTACATCTCGGAGACGTTTTACTAGATTTTAGTTGAGTCGGATGCTACGTGGGTAAGACATATCTCTGGAAAGGCGCATCTCCTAGAACGTGATTTAAAAATGTGTAAAAAATTGAGTGTTAGTTTTGTAAATAATATTAAAATGAGGTCTAATATGTAATGGAAATATTAAAATAATATTAAATTGAGTGCTCTACTCTGCCAATTGTTGCGGCTGTTTGATGCGGACTATCACACAAAAGCTGCAGTTTTCTTCAATATGCACTTCCAACTAGCTGATAAATTGATTTTTGTGTTTGATTTATAGTGCGAATATATTTAATATAAATAAATTTTGATTCTTTCATTGTGTTTTCTTAAACATTGGGATGGTTAAGCTTACATGAGTAAACTGGAGTGTAGATACATCCATGAAATCCCCGTATTTCTTGGACTCGTTAACAAATAATTTACTTCATGTCATGTAGAATGCATGAGAATTCAGTTATATATGGCATGCAAATATCATATGCAATGTATTGTATTTCTTATGTGGAGCACCTGTGTACATGTATTATGCAGCATTTGCATCAATCAATGAACAAAATGCCACACACAGCTACAATACGAACTCTGTGATCCAGCCATTTGACATTCGGAGATACTTTTCTGATAGTGACTAGGAGCATAACGAAAGAAAGGGTATTAGGAAGCGATGACTGATATCGGGATTCTTTTAGCTGATTCAGATTCGGACTACCCTTGAGCATGCTTTGCCTGTCACATAAAAGTGGAAAGGTTTTCCATGCTTGTATTGCGGAATGTTGTACCTGTAAGCAATATGGATAAAGTTATGATTTTATATGAGATCTCTATAGGAGTTGCAGATATTGGATGTGAATTCAAGATGTGCTGATAGCCTAAAGTTTATTATAAGCGCTACATTTATGAAAAACGAGTGTCCATTGAAAAAAAGAACGAGGTAATTGGAGGACATAAAACTGTTTCACTTTCTCTTGGAGAGATTTAGATCTCCTGCTTATTGAATATTTAACTTATATGGTAATGTATGTTAATGTGTATGTGTGTGTGAATGTGTATGTGTTTGTATATGTGTATGTGTACGTGTATGTGTTGGTCTTTCGAGGTGTGACATATCCAAACTGAATCTGTTTATTAATCGATAAGTAAAAAAAGTAAGACTAAAAAGGAGGAGAAAATTAAGGTAAGATTAATTTCGTTCAGAAATTAATTACAATTTAATATTATTTACAAAACTACATCATTTTAATTTACAAAACGTGTAAAAAGGAGGGGACGCTTTTAGAATTTAATGTCTAGGTTTTGCCTCAAATAAAGTTGATTTTTTTAGATAAATATCACTCTAATAGAAATTAATTACATATTAGGCATCATTTTAATATTATTTACAAAACTAATACTTAATTTTTTACACGTTTTGTAAAGCGCATCCCCGAGTTACGTCTTATTCATGTGGCATCCGACTCAACTAAAATCCAGGTAAATCGAGTCCCTGGATGCGTCTTTTGTCACCTAAGAAGAAAGGGTACTAATTTGAAAAATATTGATCAAATAATGTCAAAAAGAGAATATTAGAGAAAAATGGTGTGAGTTAAGTCAAATCTTACTGAAAGGTAAAAAAAGATTTTTATTCCTTTTTGAAAAAAGAAAGGGCAGGGAATACTAACCTATTTCTCTTCCTCTCTCCTTTTTATTTGCTCTTCTCAAACTAACTTTTCCCTCTTCCTCCTAATGACAGCAAACCGTTTTTTCGATCGGTTCGATTAGTTTGTTTTATCAAATCCATTATCCAATTATGATATATAATGGATTAATTAAAAAATAAGTGTTAAAAATATAGGTATTTCATGTTTGGGTCCCTTATTATAAGGTCAATTCATTAATTCAGATATAAAAATGAGAAAATAACCTCAGTGACTAAAAATACCTTATAATATATGAATTTAACCAACTTTTTTTTGGATTTGCCAAAATGACTAACAAATTCGCAACGCGAATTCCAATTTCGCAACCCAATTTCTAATTTCGCAACGCGAATATGTAAATCACATTGTGATTTTCCAAATTCACGTTGCGATTTTCCAAATTCGCAACGCGATAGTCAAATTCACAACACAAGTCAAATTCGCAACTCGAAAGTCAATTTCGGAACTGAATTTCAAATTCACATCGCGAATTTAATTTCGTAACAGGTTTTAATTTCGCAACACAAATGTTTTTAGTATATAACAACGCAGCAGCAGCAACTCATAACCTAAATCCCTAAATCGCAACTCATTTCATCTCCATCTATCACTCTCTTGGCGACATCCGTTCCTATATCCAACGACATCCTTTCTCATCTCTATTTTTTTTACATAATTTTATTTCTATATAATTTTTCAATGATTTCTCTTCCAAATTATCAACTATCAACTTAATAAAGGTATATTTTTCTCTAAGTTAGTGATGATATCTAGTATATAGCTCGTTTGTTTAGTAAATTAATTTACAATTTGTATAATGAAATCATCTAATGTTGATCATGTTTGGATAGATTTGTGTTTTGGAGGGTCACGGGAGAATGTTCATGGTGTTTTAAAATATGTGCCTTTACCCATGAATCTTCAACTAAAACTGTCATTAAAAAAGTTAACTTATGAAACTCTAATGTTACGTATTGCAAAGAATTTGAATTTAGAGCCTCTAAGTGGATTTAGGCTATCTTATCAGAGAAAATAAAGTTTATTTGTTAACCGACAATGACGATGTTGAACGATTCATTGGTTACATTAGTGTTTCGCAAGAAGATGATGTTACATTGTATGTTGTTGAACCTAGAAGTAGTGAAGTTGGGTCAGTAGCGGGTAGTAATCAACTAAGTTCTTTAACCCAAAATGTAATGGTTCCACCACAATTTCATCACCAAGCAAATTTTGTTTCACCACATTTCCAATACCAAACACAATATCAAACACAATCTCAAAACCCACAACCTTTTCCTAATCTAAATCCCAATCAACTTTCAGCACCAAATTTCGGTTTTCGTATTGACTAGTTAACGATTATGAGCCAACAGAAAAAATTGTGAGTACTAGTCAGTATTCGAAATTTGATCTTGGTCAATATCCGGACTTTGATCTTGATCAATACTCAGATTTTGATGATGTGATGGAAGAAGAAACAGACCCTGCATGTAATGATTTTAATATTGGTCAATACCCAAATTTTGATGATGAAACAGCCGCTGCCGAGGAATATGTTGTTGATGATAATGAGGAGGAAGTTACGACTGTGAATGAACATATTGAACATCCATTCTGTAATTCATATAACCCTGAAGAATAAAAAAAAAGTCCCCGAAGAAAGAAAAAAGAAGAAAATACCACGAAGTATAACTGGAATATGCCAGAATTACTTCAGATACCGGAAGAAGAGTTGGTAAAGATATCAGTTGATTGTTACACAAAAGTTATTCGTATCAAGAAAGATGATTGTTTTGATACAAAGGAAGACTTAAAGATAGCTTTGTATACGAAATGTGTGGAAGATGACTATCAACTAAGAGTTAACAAATCAAGCAAAGATCGTTTCGAAACAAGGTGTATGATTGACAAAAACTGTACGTGGCGTATGATTGCAAAGAGGATAAAAGATTGCGAAATGTTTCAAGTTAGGACTTTTATTGATAAACATACATGTTCAAGAACCCAAGTTTTTCCTCATCATAGATAGGCAAACAAAAAGGTGTTGGGTGGTTTTCTGGCTGAGTTAATGTTTTTGAATGGAAGGGTATATCGGGGACATGAAATTATGACTGACATGAATGCTCGGTTCAAGATTAGTATCTCATATTCTCAAGCTTGGAGAGCTAAATGTTATGCCTTGGAATTGTTGAGGGGGTCTCCAGAAGCATCGTTTGCCCAACTATTGGCTTATTGTCACAATTTAAAGCTGAAAAATCCTGGGTCGGTAACTCATATCAAAACAGATAGAGATGGACGCTTTGAGTTGTTGTTTATCGCCATTGGTACTGCGGTTAGTAAATCATTATAATTTTGTTGACTCGTTTTTGTTAGTTGCATGCATTTCACATTTAAATGATTATATTTCTCGTGTATATGATTTTGTAGATTCGTTCGTTTGTTACTTGCATGTGCCCAATTATTATAGTTGACGGAGCACATTTAAAAGGTCAATACCTTGGAGTAAACTTATTAGCAGTAGCCATGGATGCTAACAATGGGATACTGCCAATAGCTTACGGGGTTGGCAAATCTGAAACCTCTAATTCATGTACATAGTTTATGGGGCATCTTAGGGATTGTATAGGTCCTATTAGCAATCTGACAATCATATATGATAGGGCAAACTCAATTGACAACGTTGTTAGAAGGTGTTTCTCATATGCTTTTCATGGACTTTGTGGTGTTCATTTGTACAGAAATCTAAAATCAAGGTCTGCTGGTATAAAAAACCACAAATGGACATATTGGAAGGCTATAAAAGCTTATCGGGAATTGGATTTTAATAAGTATATAAATTGTTTAAACGTGTTTTGCTTCAGTGTGCTCAAACACTAGAAGATGTCAGGTTTGAAAGATGGTCAAGAGTACATCAACTTGGAGCAAGATATGGTTTCATGACGTCTAATAGTGCAGAATCAATCAACGCTCTAAGTCGTCATTCCCAGAAATTACCCATTACTATGTTAATGGAGTTTTTCGAGCCTCTATTCAACAGTGGTACTACAAGAAAAGAAACCATGCATGTATTATTTCTTTAAATTCGTAACTTATCATATATTTTACTAAGTATTATTTATTTAAATTTACAGGAACATTGGAACGTTGTGTTACACCATGGACTGAAAAAAAAATAACGAAACGTGTTATGAAGTCAACGTCCTGGAGAGATGAACCATGTTTAAACACTTTGTTTAAGTACTGGATAATAACT